AGAGGTTTCATTGCAATAAATTGACTAAGTTGACTGGATTTGAATATTTCTCAATTTAATGTTTCTCCCATTTACAACGAGTAAAACACGCATATTAATGACTGGAATTCATGGACTTTATTGATACTAATAAATCGGGCAAAGTGCGCCGTTGGTGATTGTCGTGGAAGCGCCCACGTGTTCCTGGAAACGGACACAAGTTAGTCTGTTAGGGTCCACGTCGCCTCCTGAAATATACTTAATATCATCGTCATCAACAGCTAAACTTTTTATTGGGTCTTATGCGTCTACTGCTGCTTTTAATCCTTCATTCATTTCATTATGTTTATTCCCTAATTCTTACCCTACGTTCCTTCTGCCAACCAAATACAACTACTCCTCAACCATTACGAGCACCTCGTCGACGCGTACCTAAACACCTTTCTATTTTATTTGTGACAGATTCAACTACATCGAGAGATACATGCAGGACGCTTATATCCGAAAGTGTTCTAAACGCGGTGGAATGGTGTCGTTCAATTGGTATTTCCAAGTTGACTGTATACGAAGAAAATGGTGAGTTGCCATTTGAATTTGCTCTTTGTCCTACTGTTGCTGAACGTTCATTCTCAGACAGCCTGATGGAATGTCTGCCCAGTATACGAGAAAGTCTAACTTCGAATATTTGCGACTCTGATTCGTCCAGCGACTCCGATACCGAGTATCCTTTGACCCCGCCTCCTTCCGACTACTCCGAATCTCGTCCATTGTCTCCCAGTCATCCATCAGCGCAGCACATCCCCCATACAACTCTCATTATAGCAGAAAAAGGGAATGAGACGAAGAAATCATCACCTGCTCTTAAGCACCGTCCCCAATGTATGCCCCTAAACTTCAATCCACATACCTGTCTAACCAAGTTTTATAGCTCAACAAAAGACACCATGTAAACCACCAGTCACATTATGTATTATCTCACGGAAGAGTGCGAAGAGTGCGATTGCCAACGTCGCCACTGGTATTGCTCAGTCACAGAGATCGAAACGAACTCTGAAAACAGGCAGGCCTGTACAGCCAGCACAGGTTACTGTTGACTACCTGAATAATTTCCTTGAAGGTTAGTTTTATATTTTGTGTCTGATGATGTCATCTTATTTACCGTATGTGCCAGATGAAGAAGGCCTATCCTCTCCGGATTTCATGATCATCCACCCTATTGTATCATCAAGATTCTCTGCCATTCCCGAACTACACGCATTCCCACCGTGGCAAATAAGACTAACAGAAATCTGGCAAGTCGTTTAAATTTTATCGGGGCTCCAACATTAAACGGACTTTGATTCCAATCAAAACAGCGCTCCGCATTCAAATGTTCCATTACAGCCCTCATGGAGTGCATACAACACTCCATCGGCCTTGAAAGAAATAGAATTTAGAGCTGCGCTCGATGAATTTGCATCGGCGGAGATGCGACTCGGAAAGTAATACTCCACACATTTAATATTACATACATGACCCAAACTGAGAAACAAGAGCTTCTATCGGGCCAGGACATGTTGCGTGATAAACGCTCACTGCAGTTGACATCAACGCGAACCCAGCGAACGATGACGGTAGCCAATTTTCACTGCTTTTGGCCGGCCACCTTGTGGAAACCTCACTGCTGATAACCCCAGTCCTGATAGGCGCATAATGCATGTATAAGGTTTACTATGACCTCCGATGCAAATAACGGAGATGTCACCAAGACATCAAGACTACTCCAAATCCCCAGCCAGCCAAGGTTAATTGCTAATCAGAAGCCACATAGCAACAAGTAACCCGTGTCCGCTTAAAGGTGGATGGACGGTGTTTAAACCACATGAAACGACTAAATGACACTGCCAGTTGGTTGTATTTGACTTTGTCGGTGGATGAGGCGCTAGCCAGCGCGACTTACCAAAACGTATCAAGCATTGCCACATGGAGTAGCAGATTGAAGCGCAAGCTATTTCTTGATGCGAATGTGCTCTGCATCCAAACTGAATTGCTCTTTGTGGGCAATGAATGGTTCCCGAAAGGGTGCACTTCGGCTATGCGTTGTCCACGAGGTCTATTTCAAGAAACGTTCCGAACTATCAGGACCGTTTGTTTAGTACTGGTCGGCGTGGCTCCAAGATTAATCAAGGCTTCGTGTGACTTGTACAGGATTTGTATCTATATATAAGTGCTCAATCCCTCTACCCACTTTACTTGAACCCACTTAACTCTTCACTGCTATGGAGATATACACTACTGAGAGCTTGGGCGATATTAAATTCTCGCCGTCTGAACCGTCTATGCTTTTCCAGGTAGATGAGACCCAGAGAAGCCCCTCGAAATCGCCGCGTCGAATACAGACAGACCCAGAGCACCAATACAGCGCAGAAGAAAACCGGATGAAGGGCTTCAAAAGGCTGGTCATTTGCTGCGACGGGTGAGCGCTTCCTCGACGGCCTGCCGTATTGCTAACTTGCTAACACCCCTTGTTAATGCTTTACCTCCTGGCCCGCTTAGAACATGGCAAGACGGAATGTCGCAACACCGTTCAGAGTACACAAACGTATTGGTGAGCATGTTCGATATTCATACTTTTTGGAAGTGCCTCAATCGGGTATGTGGTAGCGCATTGCAAGATCCATTCATTACGAGGATATGCGCTTCCAGCCGCCAATCCCTCAGATCGTGTTCTATCAATCCGGTATTGGAACGGAGAGCAACTTTTACTCGGAATATGTTGAAGGTATGCTTATATTGAATTATTTACAATAACCTAATAACCCCTTGGCTACATAGGTACCACCGGAGGATCGTTGGGTAAGCCGATTCGTTTAGGGGGGAGTAATTAGCGCTCATGCGTCTCCTTTTCAGCGGATAAAGTTGAAGAAGCGTACGCTTTTATTGCACAGTAAGCAGTGACTTGTGTCTATTATGGGGAAGGTATTGATATCCTGCGCAGTAATTACAGTCCGGGCGACGAGGTTCGTCTTTGGTGATGTATTTTCGAACACAGCTAATGGTCTATCTGTTTCAGATATTCCTGTTCGGGTTCTCTCGAGTAAGATATCTTCTCTTATGTTACATTACTTGAATGCTAAACCTTTGCTTTATAGGGAGCGTATACGGCTCGTATGGTCGCAATGTTTGTTGTGAGTTCTATCTATGCCGTCGCCATGTTTGCAACAGGATTTTAAGCTCTACCTCTTGGACGGTAGGGAGCAATCGGCGTTTTGGACCGCAAGGATATGGATCACTTTGCCAGCATATTCATCAACTTTCAGAAGCTTGGTAAAAGTAAAGACTCGAAAGGTTGGTCCTAGGTGAATTGTTCTCTTTCCAGTACTGTCGCTGATGGGCCTATAGAACGTGATGAATTGGCTGAGCGCTTAGCCCCATGGAGAGATCCTAATTCCAAAGGCAGGCAACGAGCAGATATTGATGGGGACAAGTTCAATATCAAGTAAGTCGTTCACCACATTTCTGTTCCGTTATCCAATCCAACAATTGGTTTATTTTCTGTCAGATGTATCGGTGTCTGGGACACGGTAGGATCGTTGGGACTTCCTGAAGAAGTTATTATCAAGTCAAAAAGGACAAGCACCCTATTTGGATTCCCTGACCGTATCCTCGGAGAGCACATTGAAAATGCTTTTCAAGCTTTGGCATTGAACGAGATGCGGGTTGATTTTGTAGGTCAATCTACCATTTAATCGCGAATTTTCGAGCTTATATCTCATCCTACAGAACTGCAACAAATTCGAGCAGTCAGAACTCGGACGTAAAAAGCGTCAGACTCTTAGGCAGGTGTGTGATTCAACCGACTAATGATGGAACATGAATACTAAATGATGGTTGTAGTGTTGGTTTGCTGGGTGTCATACTGATGTAAATTTACCCTACCTTTCGACATAATCTTACCATTGGCTAACCCATGTAACAGATTGGAGGGGGCTATCGTAACCACGACCTGTCGGATATCACGCTGATTTGGATGCTCGTAAGTAGATCATTGTTGTATCTGAGAGTTGTTGAGCTTATATTACATATTCAGGCTCAAGTCGAACATATGCTTTCGGTGGACCTTGATTATTTATACCATCGCATCCAACCAGTGGCACCTTGGGGCGTTCAACAACCGCACGAGTAAATCTACACTTTGTCTATATTTCTCCAAAAATTATAAACTAATGTGCCTCCAGTTCTGCTACAGGGATATTTCTGCTCGCGAGCACCACAGACCGCCAGCTACCCACGATGGCCAACGACCCAGTGACGCACGAATCAATACACCCTTCAGTTCTGCTGCAGAAAAAGCTCAACTCCAGTCTTTTGAATCTGATGAGGGAGCACCCAGATATCATGTATACTCTCCAGCCACTCGAAGAGGCAGCAAGAGCGAGGTGGCCGTACGACCCGAACTCGCAGCGTGCACAAGAATACGCCGGAAAATTGCGCCGACAGTCAATGTTTGGTGTTCATTCAATTGTGAACACAACGACGTGGCTGTTTACTATGCTGAAGGGTATGACGCTGCGCAGGTTGGATAGTGGTAGGCCGAGTGCTAAAACTATCTCGTATACGGAGACGTGGGAGGCAACCAGCACAGTTGTCGTTGAGCCGGATGATTCGGAGTCATCAGAAGAGTCAACAGCCCAGCCAAGTGTTTTTGTTACTGCTACCTCAAGCTGAGGAAGCACTGCGAACTTTTAGTATTTGGAGCAAGTATAGCGCCTCTTCCCCCCAGTATATATATACTCTACTACGCATAGTACGATTTGCGTTACTTTTCATGTCCATAAACTATTACTCTAGTCTAAGTATCCCTTAATTCGAATTGGAACACTATATTTATTAATACTTGATCTTTCATCTTCGACCTCGGCTTTGCATGGGTGAGGGTTTTGGAAAAGCGACATCTCTCGCTGTATGAGTGTGGAATTCCAGTGTGAATTTCGCAACTGACCTGAATTGCTCTGATATACAACAAGCCTTGGTATAGTATCGTCCGTATCGATTAGGGGTTAAATCACTTCGTTGTGGTCAATCCAATTCCGAAGAGCCGCTGGTTCGATTCCAGCTACGGACATTTACTTTTGATATTTTTTATGACTCAACAATTGAAAATCGACTGTAATAGAATACATATTAAATACACAGATGTAATATAGACGAAGGTTTTCTTAATGTTTTGTTTTTTAATACAAGAAGAGTGAAGCGGGGTAAGGGGAAGTGGAAGGAAGATTTCCCAAAACAGTATCGTGCGCTCAGAAGAGCTCCTCTGACGTCGGTTGCAAAGTTGCATGTTCGTTCTCAGCGACAACATCACTTCATAGCCTTTCATTATTCCTGTCGCGTCGTTCGCCTTGATGCTTTCGTGAAATTAATTTCTATGGCAGTGAAAGATCTCATTCAGCTGTACGAGTCTTCATCGCCCAATGACCTACCACAGCAGCAACCACAGGCACAAACGCGGTCGCACCTTGCAGTTGATGCCGGGACTAGAAACTCTACCGTCTCCCTCCCTCCTCCTCGTCGTGCACGATTTATACACAGAAAAGAGGGTCCTACCTCTAGAGCGGATGATACTCTTGTCAGAGCCACCAACGAGTATCCATTTCGTGGCTTTGGCTCCTCTGATATAACAGAGCCCCTGTCTCCCAACTTGAAGGACACTCCATCGACTCTCCATACATACCCTCCAACCGACCAATCAACAGCTGATGGTCGCTCACGTCTCCGATCTCAACTGTCTACAAAAACTAACACTCACCAACCTCATACACCTATCCCTGCACAAGATGTATTTGCTCGGAAAGCCCTCCCTCTCTACCTACCCAAACTCGACAAATACCTTGAGCTGCTAAGGACTCCCAAGCTCCCAGTGGACGGATCGTCAGCCATGTTCCCTCCTTTGGACAAGTTAGCAAGCTTAGGGTGGTCTCTTGATGACCTGGAAAACAATGATACTGCAACACCTTCTTGGCGAAATCGCAGGGCCCTGTTGGGGACTTCAATCAATATCCTGATAGGCTTTCTGGTGAGTCTTCTGGTAGAGCTGATGCAATTCTGGAATTCAGTGTTGCTATCCAGGGATCAAGTGCCCTGGCTTCTTTTTATAGCCTACAAGGTTTAATCAACACAGTTCAGATATTTGCCCTCGTTTTGAGTACAATAGGTTCGTCATTCATCAAGCGTTTACCTCTCGCACTAACATACAGGTTCATAGTTCCTGTCGGTTCAGGAAATGTGGGGGACAAATGGAAAGCTCTGTTCTTGGGAACGATGTACGTTTGGTGGGATGCGCAAAAGCCCAATCATTCTGATCATTTTGCAGACCAAATGTCCTTGCCTTGAACTTTGCGCCATTGCTCGTCCAGTCGCTGCTATTTCTAGTCGTCTTCATACTCATTGTCTCTGCTTTACTTTTTTACTTTTACCGATCGACCACTCGGTGTGATCGCTACAACTCCATAGAAGGTCTACAAGACATGGAGACCAAAGGACACAAGTGGGGTTTGGTGATCACGACATTTCTTCTTACTGTGGCATATCTTCCTCTTAGCACTATGGTTATACACGTAGCTGTCTGGTCAGAAGAGCTTTGGCCCATCCCCAATCCCTACCGCAATGCCACAGTTCTCCCCCCGGATTTGCCCCCGTTAGGCCCACCCAACGCATTTCGTGACCCCCTCGACTTCTGCTGGACCACCACGATGAAGCGTAACGAGGTAAATTTTGCCCCAATTATGATGATACCATCAGTACTCGTTTTTGTGTTTGTGAGTCGTTGTTCTGCATCGTCCTGGTGTGCTGCTTCTGATCATTTATTCAGTTTACCCTGTGGTTCCCGTTCGTACTCCGTCGCGTCATAAAGCAATCTGTGCCGAAAGTCGACACATTCACTGAGCTGGGTCGTCCTCGAAACTTGGTTGATATGGATGGAGAATACCAGCGACTGCTCGGTCGTGACCGCAATCCCTTTGCCTTCCTCTACACTGGTTCGTGTCCGTAAGCTGCGATAACTCATATATTGACAATTTGCACTTTAGCCTTTCGAAGAGGATGGGGCACTTATATCTCGACATACATGTTTGCCAAACTCAGCACACTACTAATTATTGCGATCTTTGACCCTGACAATTGCCTGTTTCGCAACTACTCGCGCACCACTATCTCAGTCATTCGCCAAATTCTCCTCCTGTTGACAACCATTGGATTTTTTATTGCACAATGCATATTCGCACCTTTCTTGGACCCTATTAACAATGCCAGTGAATGGACATCTCGACTAAACTACTTAACCACGGCTTCTACCGCCCTCGCAGTTACCCTTAAGATACCCGGAAAGGAGATACTAGAATCATATGTATTGTATAGGTGAGTCATATCTCCACGTTTTGAAACTAGTGATGCTTACAACCCGTAGTATTTATATTATAACATATGGACTTGGATTTTGTGAGCCCCATCGACAGTATTTCATTTGAAAGTCTGACATAGTTGCATCCAGACTTCTCATTGATAAACCTCGGTTGGATGCAACGGGTTGTAAAGAGTACGCCGCCATCTCCCAAGCCTCACACTGATCAATATTGTTTTAACTCTTTACCCAGAATTCACCAGACGCATAGACTTTAGTGAGAGCCGACAAATATTTTGGGCGTGATGCCTGCTGACAGTTTAATTTATCACATAGGTATCGACATATTTTCCCCTAGGTACGTAGTTTTTTTTTTTTTGTCTAGTTCATGGCATCCGTGGTTGTTCAACCATATAACTCCAGATTGGATATCTCCAATACCTCGATCCATACCAAACGCCGCATATGGCAAGAGACTATTTCTGCCATGTTGCTCACCGACGAAAACTGCAAGATACCCAGCGGGCAGCACATCGCATTCGCCCAAGCTCGGGATTCTATTTTCCCACCATACCTCCTTGACTTTCAGGGCACTCCAGGCGAGCGGCACGTAGAAAATCTCAAGGTATTTTGTCTGATAAGAATCCTCCTGTAGCCCCACTGTAAACAGCTTCCCAACGTTCCCAACAGATCCTTCGTGAAGTTGGCGCTGTGACCTATCGTAGGGCCAATGCCCTGCTCACTGGCCCTGATTTCTCTTGGTATAGATACCTGCAAGATGAAATACAGAAGAACTACACGGGGCCTGACAGCTATTGGAGACCGTTAGACGATGGCAATGTCAACTGCAGGAGTTACTTTGGAAATGCTTGGTGGATTCCGTTCCCACCATCGCTGGTATGTCTGTCTTCTCTTCTAACCTCCATATATTTAATGTGCAACAGGTGATACGCTATGATGAGGGACCTTATGCGGTTCTCAACGATTCTGCCGCTCTTGAAGCCTACATTGCCCAAAATTCAAGCAAGGATATACTGATGCGGCGAAACATCAGGATGGCCCTCAGATGCTTGGAAGGGAAGCTGGTGCAATGGCAATATGATCATGTCCAAGTATGTCTTCATGATGTACCTCTTTGTTTATTGAAGCTAAAATAGTGATAGAACATTGGATCACCTTCGCTCTTCTGTTGTGGTCGGCGACGATATGAAGCTGTCACAGCACGGCAATACGAGTTTGCTCTGTTAATGATAAAGCGTCGAGGACACCTTTTATGGGGAGGTGTGCATCTAGGCAGCGGATTTCAGGTTACGCTACGTTATTCGAGGAGCGTTGTGGTATCATCTGAGGTCATTGGCTTAACAGAAGATTACGACCTGACGCCTTCTCTTGCTCGTTTTTTGGATATTAACAAGGACCTCATCGACATTTCACTTCCCTCCCTGGAAGAGAAAATTTCTCTCTACCGGCGGCTACATAGGAAGGAATGTCGCTTCAAGGCAAAGGTTTTGTCGTATAGATTTTTGACGTTCGTATACGATCAACCAAGAGATCCTCACGGGCTTGCGGAGAGCTCCATTGAATTTGAGCGGGATAAACGTGTCCGGCAACTTATGCTTTCAAGCGAGGCTATCCTCAAAACAGCGTATGATCGATTGTCTGCTGTTTCGACAAGTCAAGCAGCGACGTGGTGGTACATCTTCTGGGTAACAAGTCTTCTCAAGGCCTCTTGATTACCCCAGCTAATAGATATGACAGGACGATCTGTGGAGGCGGAATCATGACACAATTTCAGGACTACAGAAATACGCCGAAGATTTTAACCCGCACTACAGGTCGTCGATCGCGTACACTCCTCTGCCTCGAGCAGTTTTAGAAAGCTTTCTCACTCAGCGAGGGTTGCTACACAGCAAACCTCGTTGGGGCGACTTCTTCCATGCTGGGTTCTTGAACAAATTGTACCTGCGTCTAAACGACGCTGTGTTCCGTGATTCCAGTCGGGTAAGACTCATCCTACGTTTGTCGTTACGCCGTTTTTTTGCTCAAACCTGTCATATAGGCCATCATGTTTCATTTAGGAAATGACGACCGTGAACTTGATATGGAAGACATTGACATTTTGACGCAAGCCCAGTCTTCCACTCTTGGAACTGGTGGTGGCACTGATCATGATGCCTCGAACATGCGGCCCCGCCCTACCTATAGATGGGAAGGACTTTTGAACGATCCACCTGGAAATGGGGGTCACGAACGCCGGAGGAAGTGGTTGACAAAGATGGGGGCATGGTTTGGGATCACGCCTCTTTGGAGAGCTGGTTTCCATTCGTATGGGATATCGTTAGATGTCAGGGTAGAAAATGGACGATACGTACAGTTGCATGATGACTATTCTACGACAGCTGCAGGCACTTCTGCACGTTAATTAACATTATTCCCGTTTTTTCTATGTACCTGTTTCGAATGTAATAGTTGATCTTAGCTGCCAGTCGAAGTTGTTTGTGACGAATGCTGTTGGATAACACTACTGGACCCAATTATGGAAATCAATCTTTCGTGTTCAGCTCTCGAAATCTCCAACACACTCTTTCGTAAAAGCTTGATCAAGATGCCTCGTAGACCAAGACCTGCTAATAGGGTACCCCCAAAATCGCAAAGAGGGACCACAGCCGCTAAAATTTTCAAAGAAGAGAAACCGCCAGGACTGAAACGCTCTTTACAGCAGGTTG